TGTGGCCAAGCATTCATACACATGAATCTGTGGGGGTCATACCTGTTCCAACCACCACATTGGTTTACTTGCTTCACTGTCAGCCAGTGGAAGCTTAACGCAGAGTCACAACAGAATTTTTTTGCCCTCTGTCAGAGTCAGGGTCATATAACTGTCTGAATGAGTAAAACATATTGTTCCTGAGTATATTTCTAATAGACTGACAGCCCCAGCCCTAACTCATTAATTCTTAAATGTGCTCTGCTGTCTCTTAGCAAGGAAGAGTAGTGTCATATACATGAATTCAGTACTGTCCTTGCAGTCTTTCTATGAATTAGTCTGTTCCAAAGTTAGTGATTTGTTGTAAGAAACTGGCATTTATGTCCGATAATTTCTTCTCCAAATCAGCAACTCAGAAATCTGAATGTATATGGATGTTTAGGAACCCATCTAAGATGTCATTTGGGAGCTAATTAAAGTCAGAGATATGAATGTCTCACAAGTCGTAGCATACACAGCCCTGAGCCCACCTACTTTTCTTCACACTTCTCAGCTCTGGGAAAGTTTCATTTTTCTATCTTTTCATGTTTTTTCTCACTGTACAAACATTTTTAAACTTTTTAAAAATTATTTATTTTATGTATATATAAGTACACTGTAGCTGCCTTCAGACACGCCAGAAGAGAACATCAGATCTTATTGCAAATTGTTGTCAGCTACCCAATGGTAGCTGGTTGTGGCAGATGGTTGTGGTTTCTGGAAATTGAACTCAGGACCTCTGGAAGAGCAAACAGTGCTCTTAACCACTGAGCCATCTCTCCAGCCCCAACATTTTAAAACTTTTAAAAAAATAATTTCTAAGTCAATCAGTGGTGACCCACAGCTTTAATCCCAGCACCTAGGAGACAGAGGCAGGTGGAGCTCTGATTTTGAGGTCAACCTGGTCTACAGAGTGAGTTTCCGGACAGCCAGTGCTACTCAGAGAAACCCTGTCTCAGAAAATAAACAACAAAAACAAGAATGATTTCTAAATACTTTTCCTATCTTCATAAAGCTGGCAGAGTCATCAAGAGTCAGTTTTGTTAAATATACTCTCCTAGTGTATGTGTGCTCACGCTTCACGCTAACTTGGATCTTGCATAATCTGTCTTGGAGGCCAAAGTTGTTTCTTTTGAAGTCCACATGATTTGAAAATCCTTTTTCTGCCTACAATAAAGTGGTGTCACTCTGGAGTTTGGGATGTTGATTGACAGGAGGGCAGCACACAGAGTTCATATTGCTGCTGGCCCTGAGCAGAGAAACAGGCCCTGGAGAGTGCTTGAAAATCAGGGTCAAGACATGGAAACTGAGATATGGCCTTCTGCCAAAGCTTGACCTCCGTTCCCCAATCAGGAAGCCCTGTTCAGCCCATCGTGGTGGAGTCTTCCAGACTGAATGCAGTTTCCCTGCCACTTAGATTTGAGTTTCCAATGCTTTCAGTGGTGAAAGAACCAGGATGTCTTGGAGTCATGTCCGGGGACCTCAGGATAGCTAGGTAGGCAGTGGTGGCACACACCTTTAATCCTAGATCTCGGGAGGCAGAGGATCACAGAGGATCTCTGTGAGTTCTAGCTCAGCCTAGTCACTAGAGTTAATTCTGGGATAGCTAGGAGTACACAATGAAACTCTGTCTGGGAAAAAAAAAGAAAAAAGAAAATGCCTTGAGACAACTGGAAATGCCCCAGTGATCAGAGCTGGAAGAGTCTGAACAATAGAGTAAACTGCATTTAGATTATAACCAAAGCAGAAAATAAATATTCTAGAGTTCATACTGATATAAAAATGCTCTTATCAGTAAACAAATGATGGAAAAGAGACAAATCTCTTATGTTGAAGCAGACCAAATAATTTATGTTGATACTTCATCCATGAGGGATGTCTTATTTAGGTTTTCTCTTGCTGTGAAAAGACACCATGAGCACAAGAACTCTTATAAAGGAAGCATTTAATTGGGGCTGGCTTATAGTTCAGAAGTTTAGTCCATTGTTGTCATGGCAGGAAGCATGGCAGCCTGCAAGCAGCAGGAAGAAGCAGTGAGGCACTAGGCCTGGCTTGAGCTTCTGAAACCTCAAAGCCACACACTTTCTCCAAAAAGGCCTCACCTCCTTAGAGTACTCCTCCCTATGGGTCTATGGGAACCATTTTTATTCAGACCACCACAAGGAAGTAGAATATAATAACTCCCATCCCTTAAGTGAGAAATGCACATTGCATACTTCTTTCTCATGTATATAGCATAAAAAGAGAGGAAAAAGACTCATTTTACAATGGATAAAAGCTATTCTACGGGGTATCAAGGACAATATTCACAGTGATGAAGTATGTTCATGGTAAGGATTTTCCAGTCGGGAACTGTCCCTCTGGTCTTTCCCCAACAAACATATAACCCCCATCCAGTTACAAGAAAATATCAGATAAATCCTAGTGGAATAATGTTCCTGAGCAGCCCCTTAAAACTAAGCCAGCAAGGAATACCCAAGGGACTCACAGCCCACAGGAGCCTAAGAAGATATGACAGCTCAATGCCACGTGGAATCCTAGGTAGGCTCCTGGGACAAACAAGGGATATTAAGAGTAACAAGAACTCTGAGTGAAGTAGTGTGGACTTAGTTGGTGGTAATGTAAACATTAGCTCATTAATTCCATACAAACGCTTTCTTTGGTGTCCGTGGCAGTGCTAGAGATTGAATTCAAGGCTTGTGTGCACTGAAAAAGCACTACTGTTGAGCTGTATTCCCAGCCCTAACTCATTAATTCTAAGAAATGTACCTTATGGATTAGTAGCAGGGGAAACTGGTGTCAAATACAGGAACTCTGTACTGTCTGTGTAATCTTCCTGTAAATCAAAATCTGTTGTACAGTTACCAGTTTATTCTAAGGCATGTGACAGCTGCTACCTCTAGAAGTGACATAGGGAAGGGCCGAAGATCAGAGTTGCAATTCCATGAATACTTTTGAATAATTTCACATTTCGATAGTGCACACATAGTACAGTGATTTTTTTGAATGAAAATCACCATCCAGTGGGAAAAGGACAGCATTTTCAACAAGTGGTAGTGGTTCAACTGGAGGTCAGCATGTAGAATGCAAATCGATCCATTCTTATCCCCTTGTACAAAGCTCAAGTCCAAGTGGATAAAGGATCTTCACATAAAACCAGATATACTGAAACTAATGGAAGAGAAGATGGGGAAGACCCTCGAATACCTAGGCACAGAGGAAAAGAACACCAATGGCTTATGTTCTAAGATCAAGAATTGACAAATGGGGCTGGAGAGATGGCTCAGTGGTTAAGAGCACTGACTGCACTTCCAGAGGTCCTGAGTTCAAATCCCAGCAACCAGATGGTGGCTCACAACCATCTGTAATGAGATCTGATGCCCTCTTCTGGTGTGTCTGAAGACAGCTACAGTGTATTCATATATAATAAATAAATAAATCTTTAAAAAAAAAAAGAATTGACAAATGGGACCTCATAAAATTGCAAAGCTTCTGTAAGGCAAAGGACACTGTCAATAGGACAAAACGACAACCAACATCTTGAGAAAAGATCTTTACCAATCATACATCTGATAGAGGGGTAATATCCAATACATACAAAGAACTCAAGAAATTAGACTCTAGACAACCAAATAACCCTATTAAAAATGGGGTACAGAGCTAAACAAAGAATTCTCAGCTGAGGAACCTCAAATGGCCGCGAAGCACCTTAAGAAATGTTCAACATCCTTAGTCATCAGGGAAATGCAAATCAAAACAACCCTGAGATTCCACCTCACACCAGTCAGAATGGCTAAGATGAAAAACTATAGCAGATGCTGGCGAGAATGTGGAGAAAGAGGAAGACTCTGTCATTGTTGGCAGGATTGCAAGCTGGTACAACCACTCTAGAAATTAGTCTGGCAGTTCCTCAGAAAATTGAGCATAGCATTACCTGAGGACCCACTCGTGGGCATATACCCAGAAGATGTTCCAACATATAACAAGGACATATGCTCCACTATGTTCATAGCAGTCTTATTTATAACCAGAAGCTGGAAAGAACCCAGATGTCCTTCAACAGAGGAATGGATACAAAGAATGTGGTACATTTATACAATGGAGTATTACTCAGCTGTTAAAAACAATGAATTCGAGAAATTCTTGGGTAAATAGATGGAACTAGAAAATATCATCCTGAGCGAGGTAACCCAATCACAAAAGAACACACATGGTATTCACTCACTGATAAGTGGATATTAGCCCAAAAGCTTAAAATAGCCAAGATTCAACTCACAGACCACATGAAGCTCATGAAGAAGGAAGACCAAGTGTGGGTGCTTCGGTCCTTCTTAGAAGGGGTAACAAAATACTCAAGGGAGCAAATATGGAGACAATTCCACCTGGGTATCCATCCCATGTGCAGTCACCAAAGGTAGACACTGATGTGACTGCCAGGAAGTGCATGCTGACAAGAGCCTGATATAGCTATCTCCTTAGAGGTCTGCCAGAGTCTGACATACTCAGAGGCAGATGCTCAGAAGACTGAAGGAGCTGAAAGGGTTTGTGGCCTCATGGGGAGACCGACAATACCAACCAACAGAGCTCCCCTAGGTCTAAATCACCAGCCTGGGAGCACACAGGGAGGAACCCATGACTCCAGCTGTACATGTAGGGGAGGATGGCCCTGTTGGGCATAGGTGGGAGAGGAGATCCTTGGTCCCATGAAGGCTGGACATCGAATGTGGGGGAATTCGAGGGTGGGGAGGTGGAAGTGGGGGGGTATGTGGGGGCACATCCTCATAGAAACAGGAGAGGGGGGATGGGATAGGGGGTTCCTGGGCGGGGTGGGGAATGGAGTAAGGGGATAACATCTGAAATATAAATATAATATCGAATAAAATAAAAATCACTAGTGTTTTGCTTCTCCATTTCTGTTCACCTCCAAGTAGGGAGCTTTCTGTAGGGAAGTGTTCCTCACAAATGTTGTTGGCCTCTTGCAGCTTGGTGTCCTGCTCCTGTGGAGACTGGACCAGCGAGGCCGAGTACAGGGGACACCACTCCTGAAACATGAATATGGGAAAGCACTCACTCATTGCATCTTCCGGCTCCCCCCTCCTGGGGAGTAAGTATGAAGTCTCATGTGGTTTGGCATGTGTCTCCCTTCATCCTAGGGGTGGGGTATATGACTGACCCATGTGGACCCAGCCCCAAGTCATTCTGGGAATCTTGACTGCTATATTCTTTACTCTCAGGGATCTGGTTCAGTTGGCAAAGGCAGCAGTAAGTGGGGATGAGAAAGCCCTGGACATGTTTAACTGGAGAAAAAGCAGCTTTGGAAGTTTCCTGAAGACGGGATCTCAGGAGGGGCTGTATTTCTTTGTCAGTCTCATGGATGGTGAGCAACTTGAGATGTGATTGTAGAATCGGAAGGATGTGAGGGAGGCTTGGCTCGGGCTGAAGGCTGACAGCAGTGCTGCAGTGTGGAAGGGAGGCAGACCACAGTGCAGAGAACTTTGGATGCTAGGCTCCCTCAAAACACTCTCCTGCTTAGATGTTGCTGTGCTTTGCTCTAGCAGACATGAGGACAGGCTATCTTAATTTGTGTTGAAGGGTTTTCTTCTTTAAATTTTGTTTTGTTTGATTTTTTGCTTTGTTTTGAGATAAGGTCTTACTATGTAGCATAGGCTTGTCTCTAATCTATGATCTTCCTCCTGCTAAAATCTCCTAAATGTTAGGATCGCAAGCGTCCGCCAACTATGCCCAGCTCATGAGGAAGGTTTTAGGATTTTTGTTTGGTTGATTGGTTTGTTAATTCGTTTTTGTTTTGTTTTGTTTTGTTTTTTTCCATTGGTTTTGGTTTGGTTTGAGGGGGGTTGCATTTGGTTTTTGAGACAGAATCTTACTACTCTGTGCCCATGGTAGGCCTGAACTGTGCTGTGTAGACCAGACTGGTCTACAACTTAGAGATCACCTGCCTCTACCTCTCAAGTCTGAGATTAAAGGGGTACACCACCACCACACAGAGATTACTATTAAGCGCCATCTGTTGATTGTATTGTTTTCCTAGTGTGTGTGTGTGTGTGTGTGTGTGTGTGTGTGTGTGTGTGTGTGTG